GTACATGGAGGAAGGATTGACAAGTCCTCAGGAGCGCCTGGCTCAGTCGGCTCGTTGGTCGAACGAGACATCCGCTACCTTTTCTTCTCTCGTGGTCCCGTGAGACCTGTTGCTTTCAACCAAGAACGCAGACTAGTTGCATCGCCGTATGTGTGCTGGACGGCGGACCTTGGGTCGTTTGAGTCTGTTTCGGCACTGGTGCATTGCCAATCAATAAGGCAATCCTGCCCCGAAGAACATTGGTGGACCTGGCCACGGACGGCACGTGTACATGTAGGCTCCCGGAATTTCGAGCTGTCAGCGGCCCAAGACATCGGTGTGACTGGAGCAACGCCTGCCTTCACGAGATGATCGAGAGTCACGGGAGCTGGGACCAGTACACACGTAGCTACTAGCTTGATGGACCAGTGACGAGTCATCGGGACCGACCTGGGACTGACGATCACGCTCTCGGATACTACGCAAGCGGTGAGGGATAGTCGCAGTATGGTTTCAGCGATGACTGGCCAACGATTCAAGTGCTGTTCCTGTGGACGGATTGATGAGGGATGTCTCAGGTCAGACTGGGATGGTGTTGCGGAACCCATTTCTGGAGCGGGCTAGTCACTGCCATTCGTGACTGACTTTCGTGCTCGTAGATTGATAACCGCGCAGGTACCCGTTCATCGTTTGTGGCGGGCTGCAAATACGCAGTGCGAGCCTGCGAGACGGTCTCGCCACCGCCAGTGCTCAGCATGCTCCAGGCTGCTATCCAGCTATCGCAGTGAGACACGCAAACGCGCGACAAGCTGTGCTGCGCTACCATGGATTTCTATAACTTGGTAGGGAGCCCCATGCAGTCCTTCCAACTTCTGATTTCCTGCCACCCAAGCTTCCCAGCGAGGACTCGCCAACTGCATACGCAGCATATCTATAGTCACCATGGTCAACACCCGCTCTGGAGCCTCATCCAGCGCTGAGCAAGCGGAATGCAAACAGCAAAAGCGCGGAAAGAAACTGCAGCTCTGGAGAACGAAATGGGCGAATGAGGGTTTCGATTTCATGAAGCTTCACCGTCAAGAGCTCGTCGATTTGGCCACTGAGCTTGGCATTGCCATCCCGAAATTCCAAGGCCCAATGCCGATGTGTCCCGATTACGTCTGGTACCTCGACCTTCACTTCGCACAACAGCGTCTGCGTCTCAAGAGCAGCACAGACCCAATTCGCTACCTAGACGCCGACTTTCGAGCAGACTTGCAGACCAGGGCTGTACTCCGTCAGATACTGGCCCTGTATGACACACGCTACATCGGAGCAAACGAGGACAGACCGACTGCGCTCGCGTCTTGGCCAGAAATTTTGCAAGTCTTCGCAGACAAGATTGGTAAAATTCGGGAAGGCGGAGTCTCCAAACTCAAGGATGTGCTGTCAGCGGGTATAGACTCAGGCCTCGGCCACACAAGCATCGGACACACACCCTCACGAGCTGCGCCTCCACCGCTGAGGGGCGCTGCATCTACGGTGGTCGACCGTACCCAAGACAAGGCTCCAGCGGACTCATCTCCCAGGAGTTCAGCGTTCGCTTCTCGATCTTCCTCGACGTCTACCATCCGCACTCCCAGTTCAACAGGATCAGCGCTGTCGGACGCCACCAGTGATGGCAACTCGTCAAAACGTAAAGTCAACACTTCTCAGCATTCCGCTGCTGGCTCTCAAGGTTCCGCCCAGTACTCGTACACAGCCTCCGCTGATCCTCCACCATCAAAATCCGATGCCCGCATGCCCACAGCCTGCAAACCAAGCGACGGATCATTCATCGGTATACTGAGCAGCCGCAAGATCGTCAAGCTGAGCTCAGCCACCAAGAGCGCATTCGACGATATCATCTCCAGTTTACGAGCGAATAAGATCGCTGAGGCTTTCGCCAAGACTTCCGACTTTCTCTGCGTGGTCGTCGAGGAGCTTCCAGATGACATGTGGGACACCGACACCTTCAATCCAGCATCGAACGCCCACCTCTCCCAAAAGAAGATACTGAGGTTGGTCCAGTCCGCTGCGAATGCTGAAGCAGCCATGATCAGTGATCTCGAACTCAACGATATCGAGCAAGCTACGGACAAGATGAGCGAGTTCCTCAAAGTCCTTGAGGTCGAGCTCTGACAGCATTCACCGGGCACCACTACGAGCAGCAACGATGTGCTTCAACCTCCAACCACACGATCTTCAACAGCGGCGATCTCGCACACGTTGTCTGCCTCACTCGAAACATCCTGCTGGTCTTCACCAACACCAACCTCGCATACGCCATCAGCGCCACTTGAGTCACCATTCTTCGCCAATAGCGATCAGCATGTATCATAAGCGTCTTCGGGGTTGAACAGTATCCAGGCAATGAGAAATTCGGTGTGATTGTCCCAGCGGAGAAGCCACTTTCAGGCTATATAGATCATGAGCGGTCAACCATGCGTTCAATCAGATGCACACAGCCTCCCAAATCATTCCACATCTTATCCGTGCATTGGCTCTCGCCTACATGTAGCCATCCTATACATGTGCGGATGTGTCTGCCACATGCACCAACGCTCCTCTCGCGATCTCGTCCCCTTCCCATCAGTCGCTCCCACACTATCACCCTCCTTACGCCTGGTCATCATCATCCGAATCGGGATCGCTAGGCCAAGCTGTCGCTTCACTCGACATCGAGACGACGCTGGCACTACGGCGGCGACGGTTCGGTATCTCCCTTGCAGCGCGCCTTTGTACTGTGACCGGCTCAATCTGTGGCGCTTCAGTGTTCGTGCCGCGACTCAACACAGGCGCTGGTGGGCTCGCAGTTGCTGAGCCTTGGCTGGTGTTTGAGCTTCGTCCGTTCGAGCTGTACAGGGACGACCGCCGATACATGCCCATACGATATTGCGTGACGTCAGTTCGTATCTGGGAGAGCCTCTGGCGTTGCGCGGCTAAGAAGTCGGTGTCTGCGATGATTCTGTCGACGTCCAGCGCGCTGCGCGTCGGAATGCTTGTGTCGTGCTGGGCAGCGACGAGTGGCTGCGCAGCGACGTGGTCGGTTACGGCTGGAGTAGGCGACATCGTCACAGCTCTGACAGGGTTGGGAGCCGGAGTGGCGGACGCGGACCTTTCGCTGGGTGCCGGAGAGTCGGCGTGCAGAGAGCCCGCATCGGATTCCTCAACATCGGCGTCCGCGTCCGACTCCTCATCATAGCCCGCGACCTGCATCCTTTCACACTCCACGCGCTCCTGCAACCAATCGTCGGTGCTCTTGAAGTACTTCCAGCGCTCGACATTCGCAGCCCCATCATGTTGAGCGCTGGTGACCCGCCACAATTGCAATCGACCCTGCAGGACAGATACATGAGTCACGTAGTATTGTAGCTCAAACAGTCTGCTGGATGCGGCTTTACTATGGTAAGTGCCTCCATTGAAGAGGCTGCGTAGAGTCTTGAGTAGGCACTCGTCGACAGTGGACCAAGCGAGGGCGACAGCTGATGCCTCATATGGACGCAGAGAAGGATGAAGCGGGCGAAGCTCGAGTGCGGCAAGGGTGCGGAGGACTAAATCAATGATCGTCTTCGCGAAGCGATCTGCGACATATTCGTGCCGAGCAGCCTCTCGACGAACCTGGTATGACGGAGACTTCATGTCGCTATGATACATCGAGCACGCCCAGAAGTCTCCTGCGCGCACTAGAACGTCGTCGATGTTGCGGCTGGCATCAGCGAGCGCTGATACCAAGGCCAATACGAACCTTGCATCTGTGCGGCTCTCTAATACAGCAGTCCGGTTGGGAAGTCCATTGGTAGCCTCCAAGGTGGACTGTGCCCTGGTAAGTGCGACCATGAATGTCGAGCGGATCATGTGCTTGAAGTTGGCGACTTCGAAATGGCCGCCGCTGTCTTTTGACTCCTCAGTCGCCGCCACGGGCTCATCGTTTGGAAGGCTGCCGTACGCTGGCGGCAGCGTCCTCTTCTCTGCATCACGGGCACGTTGTGCGCGATCTTCAGTTTCAATCCGGCGGAGCTCTTGGGTTTCTTCCTCGGCGATGGTCAGCAGTGTCTGGTAGTGCTCAGCCTCTCCTGCGCAAGCGTCACGCTCCAACTTGAGCTTCTTGCCCTGTTGGTCTAGAATAACAATACGAGCATCCAGGGCTTTTGTTCGAGCTTCCTTTGCGGTCAAGGCCAGGTCAGATTCTACTGCTCGCCGCTGCGCGCTGTTGAATTGACTGACAACTTTACGGTGCCTCTCCTCCAGAATCGCCAACCGCGTGGTGACTACTTCAACGTGGAACACTTCGTCCTGACGAGCCTTCATGACGTTTTGCTGACCAGTCTGATCCGCCACGGCAAGTTGATCACGGAGCAGCACAATCTCGGCCAGGGCCGCGTCAAGTCTGGCCTTAGTCGTGACGACCGGCCGCTTCGGGGTCGCTTCTGGCGGTGCAGCTTTCGCCACCACCCGGTCAGAGCTGCCTTTCCGATTCAATACCGCGTGAAGAGCAGTCTCTGCTCTGCCGCGGAAAGAGCCTGGGATATTACGTTGTCGTTTGTCAGCGGAGGATGAATGGCCTCCAGTTGGACCTGTGAGAACAGACCGAGGAGCTGTATTTAATGGTCCCGGCCCCTCATCATTGACTGTGCTGGCGCGCTTCTTGCCCTTCCTGTTGGGCACGTACTCCGAGGTGTCGCTGTCATCGTTGTCCATATCGACGTAAGATCGCTTCGACGGCCTTCTCGACAGCGTG